CCTCCCAGGGAGAATATAAACTATGGGAACTTTGTCTCTGACCACTCCTTCTCCGCGCTCTCCATTTCCATAGTTAATTGCCTGATTCTCAAGGGCTTGCTCTCAGCTGGTGCAACCACTCTGGAAAAAATTTTGGAGACTTCTTAAAATTCTAAACATAGACCTGTCATATGACCCAGCAATCCCACTCCTGGGGATATACCCAAAGGAATGTGACACAGGTTACTCCAGAGGCACCTGCACACCCATGTTTATTGCAGCGCTACTCACAATAGCCAAGTTATGGAAACAACCAAAATGCCCCACTACTGATGAATGGATCAAGAAAATGTGGTATTTATACACAATGGAATTTTACTCAGCCATGAAGAAAAATGAAATCTTATCATTCACAAATAAATGGATGGAACTAGAGAACATCATTCTGAGCGGGGTTAGCTCGTATGTTTTCCCTCATATGTGGTCTTTAGATCTAAGGCAAATACAGCCTTAGGACTTGTGTTATATGACAAGTTGAGAACATATACCAGAGGTACGGGGTTAGATAGAAAACCCAAAACATAAAAGCATTTGATGTCCCCACTCCAGAGGAATTAATACCGAAACCTTAAAGTGACAGAGGTCAACAGGAGAAGGGGATCAGGAACCAGTGTAAAGATCAGTTAGAGATAAATCAACCTGGATTGTAACACATGTGTACATGAAAGCAATGCTAGGAGTCTCTCTATATAGCTGTCCTTATCTCAACTAGCATAAACGCTTTGTCTTTCTTATTATTGCTTATTTCTACTCTTTAAGGGAACTGGAGAAAAGCACTGAACAGGTTCTGCCTGGAAGGGAGGGGGGAGAGGAAAAGAGGGTGGGGGTGGGGGCAGAGGGAGAAATGACCCCAACAATGTATGCACATGTGAATAAATGAAAAAATTTAAAAAATCAAGTGCTTGCTCTCTATAATGACCTGTGCTTGGAGAATGTTCTGAGACAGTGTCCTTTTGAAGTAAGTGGCTGGAAGTGCTTAATGTGAGGTCCCTAATGAAAAAATTAAATATCAACATTGTTAAATGCCAAATAGTGGTCTAGGGTTATAGCTCAGTAATAGGGCACTTGCTGAGTATGAACAAGGTGCCGGATTCTATCCCTAGCACTAGGGGAAAACAGTCCAAATAGATAGATGGAATAGCAACACAGAGAAATCCTGAATTTCTCTCATTCAACACTGTGCTTTATTTTGCAGATGGAAAAGTCAAAATATAGAAATATGCCACTGGTTGGTAGCAGTTATCACGTGGCATTCTTTCTATCATATCCTACATTCTCCAGGAAAGATCAAGCAGACCAACTTCATGAAAAGAAATTAGGAAAAAAGAAAGAATGGGGGTAGGGGGAAAGAAAGAAAGGAGACTTAAAGAACCAAGCTTCATGTTGGCAGCTAGGAAATCATTCCCTGTTGCTTAAATCTTCTGCAACATGAAGTAATATCTGCTAAACATATGAATAGACTTGGAATACCATCACCACAATTGGAGTATATCAAATATCTAAATTTTCTTGTGTTCTTTTGGGTGCTTTCTTTTTGTTGACTTTTTTTAGGCTTTTTTTCTTTTTTTGCTTGTTATCAGGTATTTGGTTGTTGAGTTTTTTGGTGACATGAATACTTAACATGAGATCTTTCTTCTTAATATATTTGAAAATATAAACTTCCAAGTGATTAACTATTGGTTCTATGTTGTATAGCAGGTCTCTTGACTTTACCTTGTCGAGCTATAACTTTATAAACACTGAACAATTACCCCAGCTCTTTCTCACCTAAGCCCAGGGAACCACAATTCTATGTTCTGCTTCTATAGTTTGTCTATTTTAGATACTTCATATAAGTGGAATTATGCAGTATGTGTCTTATTGTAACTGGTTTATTTCACTTAGCATAATATCCTCAAGGTTTATCTATGGTTTCACAAATGGCAGGATCTCATTCTTTAGTAAGGTAGAACAAAAGTCTCTTGTAATACGTATGTCACTTTTTATTTATTTATTTATTTATTTTATGCAGGTCAATGGACCTGGGTTCTTTCCACCTATGGATATTTTGAGTAATGCTGCAATGAATGTGGGGTGCACATAATCTCTTTGAGATGCTAATTTCAAGTTTTTTAATATATACCTCAGAGGTGGCATTGCTGGATCATCTTGTGAACCTATTTTTAATTCAAAAGCAAGATTTGAATGATTTCTCAGGAACCATGTATTTTGTATTAAAGCAAGACTTTTGGAATTAAAATACCAACAAAAACAAATACACGTTCTTTATTTGGATAAGTTCAATACAATTTACAACCAGAAGAAAGAAAATGTTAATACCCATTTGCAACCAGGTAACCCCCCATCACCAACTACTCTTAAGTTTTTCTAACTGAACTTTTTCTTCTCTTTCATACATAAATGGAATGCACTGTTTATAGAGTAAAACCTATTACAACTTGAGTTTTCATGGCCAAGTCTTTTAAATCTTTTCATGTAGCCCTTTCTCCTTTTTTTTTTTCTTTTGGTCTAAATCTGGCAGTTTTTTATTAGCATATATTGTGACATTTACATATATGCTTACAATGTATCTTACTTAATTAGACTCACCCCCTCCATCATTCTCCTTTATCCTCTTCCCCCTTTTTAAAATAATTTTAAAGAGGTTTCATTGTTTCCTTTTCATACATGCATACAAAGTACAGACCTTCCTTCTTGAATAAGTCTTTACATTCCTGCTTAGAATTTAATCAGAGGAGACATTAAATTGTGTTGGTTTATTTTGGACCTAAATTCATTCTCTTGGTGTTCCCTTTCCATTCACCATGTGCTCCCTGCTTTGTGATGATTCTAAGCCAGTGAATAACTCCTCAGTGCACAGCTTTTATTCACATACATCCAATATTATCTTTTACAATTGGAAGAGAATTTCATACAACTAAGTCAATATATCCAACTCCACCACCTGTAACACAGTTGACACATGAACTATATATCAATCATTTCCTTTAAAAGGATAAAATATTTCTTATTAACATTATAACACAAACCTTAAAATATCTTGTCTTCTAGAATAAATATATCGTCTTTGAAGATTTAGATCTGTTTTGTTTTACTACGTCATCTCAAATTGAATATACTTTGGCACTGTGCACTCTGACTCATCCATGGTTCATAAATTTACTTCATCAAATTTGAGATATTGTTACTAGAATTCCATGTGTGACACAGCAATTTTGCCTGACTGACTTTGGTATCATTCTGTTTGTTAGAGATTATCATCCCCTACTTCCCAGAATTGTGTGCATTGTTCATATACCTGGGATCTTTTTTATTTGTTATTCCAAGGGATAGGGAAAGAAGGAGTTTGAGTTTTAGAAGAAGGATTTTAGAAAATGAAGAGATAAGACCTTTTCCCTTTGCATGCCATGGGCTTAACTGCAGCTTGGCACCTGTAGTTACATAAATAAAGATTAAGATCCAATTTTCTTCAGGAGGCTTTGGATGCAGGCTAATGTGTTGCAGGGCACAGGGACTCGGGATAGGTTGGGATAGTCGCCTATCACCCGTGCATACAATGCAGCCATGATCTTCCTCCACACACACTAAAGATTAAGAACACAGAGTCAACACCCATGATACAAAGACTAGAAATGCCATTTGGATCACAACTTCACCAAGAGAATTCTCAGGCATGCAATTGGACAAGTGGGAGCTGAAACAGGTGGGATAAAAGAAAAAACGGCATATTTCCAACAGGAAAAACAATAGACAAAATGTTATGGTAGGTGCTGTTTAGAGTTTTGTGTAAGGCAGTCCTGGGAACCACTGCCAGAATCTGAGGAATCCTGTCACCAGGGTCAGTTTCATTAATTAGGCCATCAAACTATCATAATTTTATCATTAAAAATAAATGAAATCTAGTTATTGAATCTGCATTGATGACATAATTCTAACATGCATAATGATGACAGGTACTTGTGGAGCGCAGACTACATAAACACAGATGTATCAAACTGTGGGTTTGAGTTTGGCAAACTCAGAAACCCCAAACCTCAGAATGGAGCAACCATAGTTATGAATTGCACACCTGAATTGGCACAGCCTCAGTTGCAGAAGTGGGCAAGATGCAGTACAACTGTTTTTCCCTAAGATGTTTATGTTCAGGGAGAAGCGGTCACAGGCTCCTCTTGTTCCGAGAATTACAAGGTCACACCCCCTCCCCCAAGAACTTCCTTTCCACTGGAGGTGGAGGGGGCTGGTGTGTCTCCATCGGAGCGCCCAGTCTACCTGACCCCAGCTTCATGCATGTTTGGTCTTTTTTTTTTTTAATTTTTATTGTTTTATTATTCATATGTGCATACAATGCTTGGGTCATTTCTCGCCCCTGCCCCCACCCCCTCCCTTACCACCCACTCCGCCCCCTCCCTCTCCCCCGCTTTTATCTGTTGTCTTTTTCTGTATCTCCTGTTACCCTCAGTTAGGTTTACAGGACAAGCTTGTGCAGGACATGAGAGTAATAATGCTAATGACTGCAACTCACTTAAAAATGAATCAAAATATAAAATGTGTTAATGTATGAATTGATAGATTGATTAATTAACAGATACATTATACCTGGGTTAAGTAAAATTGCAAAATATTAACAATTTTCATTTTCAACTAAATACTGAGTATATGGTGATGAAAATTTTCATAGATAATTTTGCAAAAAATACAATTGTTTCCTTTAATCACAGACCAATAAGGCACTTCCTATATGGATTTCACAAGGTATAATTTCAGATCTTTTTGTTATATATCCCAGTATTCATGGTTCTGACTGAAATCATTTCTCCTGCTGCCTCTTCCTTTATTCCTTCTTCCACAAAAGTTCTAGGCATTTTTTATACCATGTATTACAATGTATTCAATTAGACATTGGACATAATATAAACAATAAGGACCCATATTGCTGGCACTACAGAGCCAGGGGTAAATGGTTAGGAAAGCTTGACTCTATTGAGAATTTTCCTCAGAGCTTCCTTCACTTCCTTGTTCCTCAAACTATAGATGAGGGGATTCAACATGGGGATCACTGTTGTGTAGAACACAGATACCACACGATCTCTTTCTGAGGACTGTCCAGAGTTATCTCTCAGGTACATGAAGATCAGGGTACCAAAGAAGAGTGACACTGTGGTGATGTGGGAGGCACAGGTAGAGAAGGTCTTAGCTCTGCCTCCAGCTGAAGGGATCCTCATTATGGCCACAATGATAAACAGGTAGGACACCAAGATCACCACCATGCAAGCAGGGATGACAAAAACGGCAAACACGATAATCACCACTTCCTGAGTGAAGCTGTCCCCACACACTATCTTTAAAAGAGGAGGGAGGTCACAGAAAATGAAGTCAACCACATTGTTCCCACAAAAAGAGAGTGTGAATGCTGTGACAGTCCTCACCAAGGCACTGAAGAGACCAGCAACATAAGCCCCAGCCACAAAACCTTGACGGGCCTTCTGTGTCATCATGGTGACATAAAGCAGTGGTTGGCACACAGCCACATATCGGTCATAAGCCATAATGGCCAGGAGGTAGCAGTCAATGGCACCAAAGAAGGTGAACAGGAAGAACTGAGCAGCACAGCGTGTGTAGGATAAAGTTGCCCCGTGCTCCAACAGCACGGCCATTGTCTGAGGAACAGTGACAGAGGAGTAGCAGATGTCCATGAAAGACAGGTGCCTCAGAAGAAAGTACATCGGGCTGTGGAGCTGGTGATCCATGTGGATCAGAATGATCATTCCCAAGTTCCCCAATAAAGTGATGAGATAGGTAAGTAAAAACAAGAGGAAAAGAGGGAGTGCCAGTTCAGAATAGTCAGTGAATGCAATAAGGAGGAATTCTGTCACTAAGGTGAGGTTTGTCTCTGCCATGAAGCCAGTGGTACGTATGAGGACTAGGATGAGAAGCAAGTTAGGAAGTTGGAAATGGTATTTACATGTATTTATAGTTTACAATTATTGGTCATATACTATAGACAAAATAAACCAAGTACTATGTGGGACTTCAAAGATGACTAAACTTTACCCCTGACATCAAGGGGGTCATCTTAATGTTAAGAAAAATATACCGGTTATCTATTCCAGAATAAGAGTATGCATTCTCCCATCTCTATTGCTAAGTTGCTGTGTGAGTCCTGTGGGTCAGATAACCACTGTGAGAAAAAAACTTCACTTTGACTTCAATAGGGGCTCGTACCTGGCCTCAGCTAACCATGTGACTATACACATTTAGACACCATCCCTAATTTTCCATAACCATAACCCTTTCTTTATATCCAGTCCTTTTTGCCTCAATCTGGATTAAAGCAACTGCCATGAAATTATTTTTCCCATCCTCAGATTTGTTTCTTGCCAATTTTTGCTCTTTTAATTGACATATCCACTAACATCTGCATATTTCTAAGACCTCAATTTGATTACATCTCATCCCCCTATTAAAAACACTGCCAGGGTAACCCATCATGGACAGGATATTGCTGAGATTCCTAGCTATGTTGGGAATGCCCTTCATAAGATCTTTTCTGCTGACTTCTTCATGCCCTTTTCTTATTTCCCAAACTTCGCAGCCATGGTCACACCTAACCCTCCCACAATCTCTCCAGCCAAACTGAATTATTGGCAGATTCTCTAATACTCCACATTCCCTCACATCTCTGTGCTTTGGCAAGAAAACCCTTTCTGTGCATTCCAAGTTTCCCTCTTATTCTTGTACTACCCTCAAAACTCAGCACAGATTGTAATTTTTACAAGAAGCCTTTCTTGACTCTTCCTTCTTCAGTCAATATATGGGCCCTCAGAGCTCAGCTTACAGTAATCAATAATGTTATCAGATATGAAGCACCTTGCAAAGAGCACACTACTGTACACATATTCAAGTGACTATTTTTATTTTGTAAATGCTTAAAAAGAAAGTATTAAAAACTCACTAAAATTGAAAAAATCATGAAGGCTATATGTCATTCTTTTGTGTTTATATTTCTCTCCTTAACTTAACAATGTACTTACTTAAGTGCTATTGGAATTAGACCCTCTTAGTTTATTTTAAGCAAAAATGGGTTATATTGTCAATAATAGAAAACAAATAGATAACCACTTTTAAATATGATATGTATTCATTCATCTAATCCTCAAACCATTTTAGGAGGAAGGAACTTTTCTTATTTTTGCTCTACAAATAAGGACTGAGACAGAAAGAGTTTAAGTAACATACCAAAGATTGCACAACTAGCAAATGATGGAACCGTCATTAGGAACAAAGCTTCACACAAAAGCATTGCTTACCTTGTAACAGGATTTCACATGTTTCCCACAGGTCTTCCAACAGCCCCTACTCAGGCAGTGCCCAAAAGTAAGTCAGCAAAACAAATGAGAACACTGCAGTCAATTAACATTTGAAGGCTAATGGAGGATTTTGAGCTAAAGGCTAGAATGTTCTTTGGCAGAGTCTCAGTGCAAAGGATAGAGAAGACATTGATCATTTTTAAAATATAAGAATAAGCCAGCATTGGTTGCACTGTCCTATTGGGGAAATTAAGTCTGATGATATAAATTGGGTATGAACCAAGAGAACTATATCAGTTTTGTCACCTGAATTCCATTTCAGCTTTACCTGGCTGGTCCTCTTCTCTCTTTGTCCAATGTTTCCTTAGTCTCTTCTTCTGCTTGTAGAAGCATTTTAAGGTTGTAAAGGGACAGGACTACACTGGGCAGCACTCTGAACTGTTCCTGTTTTCCTCCCACATCTGCTCAACTATGATGTTGGGCCAGTCTTTTGGAGACTCAGTGTTCTTCTCCCTTCACATAGTGTACATACACACACACACACACACACGCACACGCACACGCACACACACACACACACACACACACACACACCGTGGGGATCAATGTGGATGCAACAATGCTTTAACTGCCTGTCACTTCCTATACAGTGACCCTCAAGATCCTTTAAGCCAATTCTGTTCTGTCAAGGACTCTTCTCTTCCTCTTTGTTTCCATGATCTGCTAAATCTGGTTAGGATACATCCTAACCCCTTGTTTTTGTTCAATTCCAGGCTAAGACAACAGAGATTGGAGAACAGCCTCTTCTTGTTGACTTGCAACTCCAATACAAATCCCTTGAAAAGAAGACACTAATAGTTGCTACAAAAGGTCTGAGGTCCCCAGGCAATAACTAAAGTAGTCTCTAAGGAGAGACAACTATTGCTTTTGTGAATTTCTAGCAAAGCACTTGGTATGTCTCACACAGGAAGAGAGAAGACTTTCCTCCCAGTCTCAGCTCCCAAAGCCCTAACACACACCCACTAACTGGAGTCAAAAGAATTGAATCCAAATTTTATATGGTCCTTTGAGGAATTAGACATGTCCAGATTAATTTCTCCAATCAAAACAATGTCATAAATTATGCCAGCTGTCACCCTCATCATTGCACTTATATTCTGATGTAACAGTCTTTGATCCACATTATCTGGGAGGGTACATTGAGTATCTTGCCAGAGACCTCAAGGAGAGGTTTTGTACCTTCTCTTTGCCCTCACTGGGAGTCAGATATTTCATTCAGTCTCTCCCTTCTTTATTTCCTTAGATACAAATGAAATCATAGAGAAAACAAAAGCCTGAGATGATGCCCAATGAAGAATTTGGCAAGTCCTTCTTGTTGCTATTGTCTTTGCCAGCTCTCTGCATCTCTAACACTATATGATATTTTTAACCCAAATTCATAGGCATTTTGTTAAATTGAACTTCAACAAGTCTCAATTCAAAAAGGTAGATGAAAAAGAACAGATAATAATTCTCTTTGACAATTATGAGAACCAAGAGAAAATGGGACCATTCATTCATCACTGTGCTATGAATTTGAAATAAAAAGCAAGAAATACAAAATTAAACAAAAAAAACACACAAGCTAATAGATGAGCTAATGATCATCCTACATAGTGACAAGTACCAAAGTCTTAAGCAAAATATGAGTAATGTCCCAAAGGCATTCAGTGTGGAGCAAGATTATTTACAGGTATTAAAGATCAGGATCAGAAGTCTTCCCAAAGCAGAGCTTTGAATCAGTTTGGACAAAACTCTCTTCAGAGAAAGGCATCACCATGACCAAACACATATGGACAGGATAGCCCAGAAACTATTCTTGAGATAAAGAGTCACACTTTGGTGGTAGCACAGGCTGGTGCAGTTTGAGCATCCCTTTTCCAAAATGGTTGAGGTCAGAAGTATTTAATATTTTAGGTGTTTTCAGATTTTGAAATTTTTACATATACGTAATGAGATACCTTGGGGATTGGAACGAAGACTAAGCATGAAATTCATGTATGTTTTATGTACACCTCAGCCACTCAGCCTAATGGTAATTTTATACAATATGTTTGATGAAATTAGGCTTTGACTGTGATCTGCCACATGAGGTCAGTGTGGAATTTTCCACTTGTTGCTCATGTAAGTGCTCAAACTTTTTTCATATTTTGGATTTCAAATTTTCAGATGATGGTTGTTCATCCTGTATGAGTTGAGTGTTGTCTATGAGTCACTGACTTAAGAGAATAAGACAAGGTAGCACCCAAAACCTCAATAAACAAGATAAATAACATTTAACGGAATATTTTGAAAAATCAAAACTATGCAAAAATCTGTCATGAAGAAAACATGAAAACTTTAAATAAATATATCACAGTGTTGCTGATTTTACTTTTGCCTCTGTCCTCAATATGGCTCCACAATACATGGTACTGGGAGTTTTGCTAGAAATGGAAAAGTAACACTAAGGCACTTACAGCAGACAGGCTGAACAAGTACCTTTCAATCATCTTGGGATTCCCCATTATTCAATTATTCTCTATGTAAAAATAGAAAGAAAGAAAATGCAAGAAGTTCAACTTAGAAAGATCTAATCCTTGCAGACTATCTATCATTAGCCTTTTCTAAGGACTCTCTTTGTCCTCATGAAAGCCCTGTAGGATTGAGAGAAAGAATGTACTGAGTAAACAAAGGCACAGAGAGAGGCCCAAGACCTCAGGAAAACTAAAAGAGATTCCAGAAAATACACAGTCCATGAACATTTGTGTGAACTAATGTTTGAACTAACATCTCATCTCTGCTCCCTTCTTTCCTTTGGGCAAAGTCTAGAACCCACCCCAAAATTTCTGGGGACACCCAAGGGCTCCCTATTATATTTGCTTGGCTCTTCTTGATCCTGCTTCCACTAACACATTGTTTATACTCATACCCACTTTCCTTGTTTACACACCCTTCATTTTACCACATCATACCAAGTGAGAAGCATGACCTGTTTTCTTTATCCTTCATTCTCTAATGCAAAATAAATACAGTGTTTCTATGGACAACAGAATTTTAATGAACATATTATAAGAAATTCCAGATATTTATAGTAATGCACAGAATGGAGTGAGGACTAGAATTGAATAACTGATATACTACAATTCTATCCAGACATTTCCATCCCAAGCAATTTGTCAGTGGCTCCTCACCACCTTCAGCCTGGCTACTGACAGGAAGCATCTGCTCATCCTCAGATGTCTTAGGTATATGTTTGGGGGAGAAAAAAAAATAGGTTTACTATTCTCAGAAAGTTTGATAACCACTTTATGCTACATTCATCACATGGAAATCATATTGAATAGCATCATATTAAGATATATATAAAATCTTATAATTAAAAGCCTCATCAACTTTATCTAACCCACTATTTCCCTAAAGTATTTAACCACAAACCCTCTTTTGCATTAGCATCCTACAGAACTAGAGGGCTAACTGAAAGATGTTCCTTAGGCGGTATAACTTTAAAAAGGCTCAGAAATTGTTCAAATGGCAAACAGAAAAAGCAGTAATTATTCTAAGAAACAACA